CCCCTCCCCCCCCCCCCAAAAAAAAAAAAAAAAAATTTGAGCCTAGCCCTTACACTGGACTTGGCCTGGCAGAAAGGTTACACAAGTATCAGGTAGGTCTCTGACCCTGGCATCCCATGTCTGCAGGGGACCAGTTAGATTCCTAATTCTTATGAAAAATATCAGAGTAATGTTAAGACTAATATGTGTACCTTTCTAACACAAACTTACAGGAGGTTATTTATATAAAGTAATACTGAACTCTAGCATAGCAACAAACTACACAAAGCACCACTGGGATAGTGGGGAGAATACTTATGCAACATGGGGTATTTTACTCTTAGAATTTAGACAGTTTACCGGGCAAGTTTTTGCTAATGTTGGAAGAAAAGTGAAAGATTCAGTAATAAGGCTGGAGGAGCAATCCAGATGAGGTCAAATTTTAGAGACTGCTACAGTATCCTTAAACCCAAGATGAAGCTAATGGGAGATACGCATAAGAACTCAGATGATATGCCGCATACTGAGGGGTCTGGCCATGAAGAAGGTCCATCATTGCTCAAATTCTCTTCTCCTTTATACTTGTGCTATCTCATTGAAATAAATGGGATCAAGCAAATATAGCTGGGATCAGAATTTAGTCCTAGATGTCTAGGGATGAAAGGGATGTGCCAAGTCAATATAATATAACTGGTTAGTTTTAGAAGAAGTTGCTCTGCCATCTCACTGTGGCCAAGAGATTACAATAAAATTAGCTGCAAAGATTATTGGGTAGTTTCACTGAACTGAGTTAAATCAATAAGTGTTGTAACAACAAGTTAAGATGAGAAATCCCTAAAAGGTTATAAATCAAGGTGCAGACTTCAATGACATGCCTTGTAATATCAGCATTGGAAATAATCCTGCAATTCTGATTGTCAGTACAAACTCAAATAAAGAATAATAATACTAAAAAAGAATGAAAACCTCACAGCTTGCATGCCTTAAGTAATGAATTCTTAACCTATGTTAACAGTGTTGAAGAGGAAAGTAGGCAAGACTGATTTAACAAGCTGACCTGAATAAAATGTCTGTGTAGTGGTACCACACGTTCAAGTGTCACAAAAGGAAGATCAAAAATGCCAAGTTTACTTACCTGTACCTTTGCTTTGGAGTTTGCTTCTCAGCTGACTTAAAAACATGTCCAATATAATACAAAGGAAAGAATAAAAAGTTCCAGTTTGTTGCAAACCATGTCAGAGTGAAGGGTGCGTCAAATTTCTGAAAGGTCAGTTTTGCCAGCTGTGTTGAACCTGACCAGGAAGAGCAGACCCCCAGGACCATTGCCACGCCCCAGAAAAATTTCTTCAGTTGGGTCACAGAGCATTTCCAACAGCAGCGATTCACTCTTCCACTGCCTTCCACCCCAGCTTGCACTTGTGCTTCTGCTGGGGCTGGAGATTCCCGGGAGCGCTCATCCCCTGAGAAGAAAATGCAAGGATTATTAAAGAATTCTATGCAGTGTTTCACTTTCCTAGAGCCACATCCTGATCCCTTTTCAAGTCCAGGGGCAAGTTCTGTCATCAACATCAATGAAATACAGATCTTGCCACAAAAGACAGCTCATCTTAAATCAGGCTAAAGCAACTGGTGCATTTATGTCATTTACATAAAAATTACCACCTTTATGATTAGGAGCAACAGGGAAAAATGGAAAGTGAAATGGCAGGTTTAGCTGTCATTACATGACAAGATATATGAAAGTACTGTTGCTAATACTGATACTATATGTAAAATAATGAATGCTGTGCTGTTTAGTTTAATAACAAACAGGAAATAACAGGAACACTGGCAATCAGACTGTCTTGAAAGATTTAGAATGGTATATATTTTTCAGCATGGTGTTTCTTTTGAAAGAATTGGGAAAGTTTGTTTAATTGTACAGCTGTACTGGTGATACTGTGGAATAAGTGTATTGTACTTGTGTAGTGATTGCAGCTGAAGTATCACTGCAATCCAGTAATCCTTGGTTAACAAACACTTTTTAGAGGTTATCAAGCTGGTGAAACTTAGAGCAACTCAGAGGCTTCTAGGCCTAGGCACTTTCACCTGGCCATGAAAATTTGAATCCTGAACTAAATAGGGCTCAGCCATGCCTGAGGATCAAGCACAATGTTTTCAACCTGATACTGGTGCAACTGAGATGAGAATTTCACTTGGAGAAACCAGTTTTCAAACACCAATGCCTTAAAAATAGAATGCAAACTCATTGGCCATATCAGCAGGCAGGTTTTTAAACTGTGTAGATGGTCATGCAGATATGCTCATTTAAATAATCAAACATGGGTATGCAGTATGCAATTTAAGTGGCTAAATTTGCAGAATTGATTTCTAGTTTTATATTTTGGCTTGAATAAAGCTGCATGACAACTAGCCTATATTTCTCCAGTTTCAGTGGATGATGTATTACTACTAAACCAAGAAATGGTCTTATATGATACCACATGCTTTCAACTCCCAGGTGCTTAAGGCCTTCAAGTCATTTCAGGAACAGCTCAGTCCCTTGAAAAAATGAGACCATTTTCTGCAATTTATCTTACGTAAATCTTACTCTGGCTCTGTTTAAGATACAAGAGACTGTTTTGAAAGCTTTGGGCATCAGTTTCATTCACATACAGACATAAAAAAATGTGATAGCTGAGGATAAAGAGCAAGGATGTTTCAGTCTCTAGATAGTTCAGTGAATGAGACAACCATTGGTGGGGGTCATTGCTGTGCCCTTGGCCCGGCTGTACGAG